CCGAGAGGGGGGCAGAGGCGCAGAAGGGAGGTGGTCAGGGCTGTCGGTGCTCCCCTGCTCTTTCCCGGAGCCCGTGCAGGACTTGCACAGCCAGAGTCACGCTCTGGTCTTTACTGCACTTAGCCACTAACCCCCATTTTACAGGTGGGAGGCAGAGGCGCGGGACCCGCCTGGCTGCAGCCTGTTGCAGAAGAAGGCTCAAACCTGCGTTCAGTCCTGCAGGCCCAGTGGTGCTGGGCCGCGCAGGCTGTGCTCCGGCTCTGCCTCCCGCTCAGCCGGGGAGAGTCACCCTGCGCCCAGGTTGCCTGGCCATCCCCTCCTGCTGCACGCTGCTCCCCTGAGCCGGGCCTGGCCCGCGGCACACCTTGCGGTGCAAAGATCGGCAGCAGTGCACAGGGAGACAGCAGCGAGCCTCCCTCCTGAACCTTTGAGGGTGCGCAGGGTGGGTGAGGAGGGTGTTTCGTGGCCTCTTGCAGGTCTCCCGAGTGCAAACACAGCTCCGCCAAGGTGCCCCTCCTTCCTCCTGTCCAGTTACCTCCACACAATGGACGCAGTGTGTGCCTGCAGCTTCCTCTGCAAGAATTACAGTTGCATGGGCAGGCACTTTATCCTTTCTGATCTCTCCTCTTCTCCCCCCTTCCCCCTGAGGGTTTGTTTTCCAGCAGGCTGAGTTCAAAAAGGGCACGAGATACTGCTGGCAAACAGTCTGGCGCTAAACAAACCTTTTTAGTCAGAATCACATGGATTAGACCCAACTTTCCATTCACATGCAGTGCTACCTGTGAGCTCCTCTGAATTTCACAGTGGCCGAGCTGCTAGTCTAAGTACCAGGGCGGGTGAGATAGCACCTGAAGCCCGTGACAGAGGTCTGGAGCGCAGCTTGCTGGGGGTAGGTGTGTGCTGCTGGTGACTCTAGGGGCATATCCAGTGCAGACTGCTGGAGCTGCTCTCCTTCAAGGAGAAGCTCTGCCTCTGCCAGACAGCAATCTGAGAACCGGCTGCCTAGGAGACTGCCAAAGACACCTTGTCTTCAGCCAGAGGTGAAGCTTGATGCACAAAGTCCTTGGGCTACTCCGAACAGCATAGCTAGATACTGCCGTTCTGTCCCTGAGTGAGAAGCTTTTTGGCACATGCTTCCTCTTCATCCCTTGCCCCCAGCCTCCTTCCCACCCGCTGTCTGTCCTGTCCCCCTTTCTGTTCATCTCCCTCCTGCAGCGAGTGAGTTTGGAGGACAGTTTGAGTAGCATCACGCTGCCTTTTTATGGTAAATATGCTGCAAGGGAGTGCTGGAGGAGGGGTGGCTTCTCAGAGCAGCAGCAAGCCCATGAGACTGGCCAAGACTTAAATTGCCTTGGCTTATGGTGCCCACAGTGCGGGGGGGGTAGGAGGTGAAAGGCTGGGTTGAGGGTCTAGTTTCTCTTTCAACTGTACCTGGAAAGATCTCTGAGCAGCTTCTTTCTTAGCACTTACTGTCAGCCTGGGTGCCAAGGGCTCGTGCTTACTGGAAATCCACTGGCTGTAACTGAGGCCAAACAGTTCCTCTGCTCTGATGATGAGGGGTGCAGGCTCAGCACTAATGGTAGGAAAAGAAGCAAACCAAAAAAAGCAAACACTCTGCCAGCCCGTCAGCAGGTACAGTGCTGAAGTCCGGCTTGCTTGGCTGCCAGTGTCTCGCTCTTTGCTCAGATCTGTGAGACCATACCATTTCTAGGGACCCTGATCCCAGGCGGAGCACTGCCGTGTGTCTGAGACAGCTCATCCTAAGTAAGCCTTGCTCAAAACACACCTTGCAGGGTGCTGGGGTAGGTGAGGACGTGTTCGTACGGTGCCTGCCAGCATTAGAGCTGGAGAGCGGGATGCGGGAGAATAGACTCAGTATATCGATGCTTGGCTGTGTCTTGGTAGTTGTGGGGGAAGTGGATATTCTCCCCAGCCATGTTTCCCTGTTGTCCTTCCATCTTTCCAGCTGTGGTTGGAAGGGAGCCGTCCTGGTGGGGGATGAGATGGCCTTTCTGGCCCTGTTTCCTTGGCGCATCCCTTCCTGCCCTGCTCAGCTCCCACACCGTGGTGTGCCCGTCTATTTTCTTTGCTTCTGGATGAGCTCAGCCAATACTTTGGGATAGCTAGGGATAAATTGTGACTCGCTCCAAATAACCTGTAGACAGAGGCATGTCCAGGGAGTATTTTAGTCCCTGACACATGAGCCCTGCCTAGAATGGAAGGCCTGATTCACTCACAGTATCTCACTGGAGGCCAGCACCTTTCAGGAGAGCTCCAAATCTCTGTCCAAATGAGGAGACAAGGGCAATGAAGCACATGAGGCTCCGAGCATGGCATTGCTGGTGGTGGCAGCTTGCACCTCTGATCTCTGACGGCCCTCCTGGAGCCTGGAAAGGCAACAGCTGGCAGGGGATGTTGGTGGTGGTGTCCTTGAGTTCCTGAAGTGTTGCTGACAGGTCTCTTGCTTGAAGCAGTAGTCTGAGGGGAAGGGAAACCCAGGTCAAACAAGCTTAAGGGGCCTTTTAATGCGTGTTTTGACTTGGAGGCATTTTGTTGCTGTTCTCTGTCAGGGTGCCCCTGCCCTTCTCAGCTTAGCTGAGACTTGGCATCTCAGGAGAGAGACGACTCTTGGCTTCCCAGGAGGAACAACACGTCTGGCAATGCGTGCAGAGCCCTGCTGTGAGATTGTGACTGCCTCCTGCCTCCAGATGCTTTTCCAGAAAGCCATTTAGAGCCCCAGGCTTTACTTGGATAAGTCCCTTCCCTGATTCATTAGTAATGTGCAGCCTCTCCTGGTAATATCCCAAATCTGACTGTGCTACAGGCTGAGAGGGAGAGGCCATATCTTTTAATAACCATGTGATGCAGTTGGAAAAAACTTCTGGACATGCAGTTCTCTGGTGGCCTGAGTTGATGGAAACACTCCAAGGGAGAGATGCAGCTGGGCCCTGAGGGAGAGGGTGCTGCAACTGCTTTTGGGTGAGGGGGGCAACTGCTCGTGGTTTCTGATCTGCCTTTCCCCCAGCCTCATCCAAGCTCCCCTGACCCCACCTGGAGAAGGCAGCAGGAGATCGGTCCCACCATGCTGCAGGTCTTGCAGGTCCCGCGCGCGGCGCTGTGTAAATAACTGCTGGTGGCTGGGTTGCAGCCGCTGGACGTGGGCTCCACCCTGGAGATGAGGCTCCTGCCACGTGCGCGCGGGAGGTCTGCTTTCCCGGTGAGGCTGGTGGCCGTGCTGTGGCGGATCCCACTGGGCAGCACTGCTGTGTGTGGCAGGCACACGCCTGGCTCTCCCCACTCAGTATTGGCTCTGCTGAAGGCGCCTTTGCTTTTCCAGCTATTGAAACTACTCAGTCTTGTTGCCAGCAGCTTCTGCTTCCTATCCCAGGTGGGTGCCAGGGGCTTGGCTCTTACCTGCTTAACTGCTCCCTGGAAATGCAGGGCTCTACTAGCACCAGAGGGAGGGTTGTGACTGCAAAAGGGACGTGTGCTGGGCGGATTTGGCACCCTGATTCATATCCTGTTCTCCCTGCTCCAGAAGTATCCATCTTCGAGGTTCCCCCCTTAGACCCCTTCGGTGTGAGGTGGGAGCTGACAGACCAGGACAAGCAGAGTGGGGATGATGGAGGGGGTAGATGTCTGTTCACTGATGCGTGCCATAGTGTCCATACGTGTCCTCTCTCACTGACTGCCACCTTGCAGCCAGATATTGAGGCAGACTTGCAAAGCAGAAGTAGTGTCAGGCCTTGTTGCTGGAGGAGGGTTTTGCTGGGCAGTTGTGTGTACGTCTTCGCTGGAGTTGCTGGGTTTCACTG